AGTTTCATGTTTCATGTTTCAACCTATTCATTTGGATGTTGCCCAAAGAAAGCCAAGGGCACCTGAATCTAAACCGCATTAAACCACACAGTTCCTTTTTTGGAGTTTCTTGCATGACACACGAGGGCTTACAGTATCATTCTCTTGCGAGCATCAAATGTTTGCGCGCTTGCTATTTGTGCTTCTGCCGATCGGAGGCTCCCGGGTTTGAAGTTGAAGAAACAAAGATTAGCAAAAGTTTTTACAAATACGTTCAACGTGCACTCTGGGCTACCAGTGACTCACGAGGCTCGTTCACCCTGCCCGGGGACAGTTGGCAGGCTTGCATCCCGTCAAACAAAAGCAAAGACATCATGATGCGAGAGCAAACCAAATGATACCCATGAGTTTTGCAGCTGAGCGGAGGTCAGTGCTATGCCATTGAAATCAGTGGACGTTTTGAGCGATGACGAGTGCTCGAAACCCAGCACAGTTCCAACGTTTGTGCCTCCAGCGAAGGGTTTGAAGCGGTCCAAGAGACCTGGCAAAAAGCGGAGTCCACATCTAGTGCAAAGCACAGCTGATCCTCAAAAACTGCGTCATTTGATTATGTCAGCATGTGGCTGCACACTTAGCTGCTTTCTTCCCTTTCGAGAAAACTACTCCTTGTGGGAAAAATGGTTGCACCTGCGAAACCTTTTCGACAAGATGACGAAGTTGGAGAAAGATCAGTACGTCTGGCCCCTAAAGCAAAGAGTATGTGTGAATCACTATCGCTCTGCCATCAGCTTCTCACCCATTCCCATTTTCCATTTTCCAGATTCCATTTCCAGGTGTTTGACCTCATCCGGAAGACCACCGACTCTGCTTGCAGAGGCATCCGCCATTTGTCTTACGAGGGGTGCTTACTGTGCAACAGTGGTTTCAGAAAGCTTATGGGTATCGGCCAAGGCCGCTTTGCTCGTATGAGCCGAGCTAGTCGATCAGGTCTCGCATTACCGCCATACGATGCACGCTACATCCCCAAAGGTAAGAAACCACCTTCAGAAGCACGCTCAAAAGTGCATGGCTTCCTCACCAAACTCTACCTGGAAACAGCGGAGTTCATCCCTGATGGCCTGAACAGCAACAAGCGGCCCAGGCAAGGCGACAATCGGCGTGATCGTGAGATGGATCGAACAAGAATCAAACATCTCCCGCCAGCATCCATAAACGATTACCACCTTCAGTGCATCGCAGCGCTGCCAGAGATCAAAGTCAGCAAAACACTTTTTACTTCTGTGCCTTGTCTAGTCTAGTCTGGACTTTTTTCCACTAGCGACTGAACGTAAGTAATGAACCATAATGAACCAGTATCGTATGTTTGAAGCGTTGAAACTGCCAACGTGCTAGGTGTGGCAAGATGATTTTGATGATCGCCTGCGTATAAGATTTGCCAAGCACCACAGCAAGTGTTCACAATGTATCCGACATCGGCTCATACTGAAGAAACTCGGACACTGTCCGGCTGCTAGGCGAACACAGGAGGCTTTGTTGCAAAAACACCTTGACGCCAGCATCGAGACCGTCAATCATACTGGGATTTGAGGGCTCAGTCACGTTTGCAAGCCAACCACCCCTTCACCTACTGCATCACGGGGATCATCGATAGTATGGATGCCCAGAAGCATTCGTGGCCGAGGAGCAAAAACATGTCCAGTAAGGACTTCGCATCCTTCAACCGACCGAGACTGACCTCTAACAGCTTGATATTCCACGGTCACCTTGTAACTGTGAACCTATCTCCGCACAACGTGTCCTCAAACTCAAGCAGAACGTGTGAGATTTTGAGCAATGGCTTGAGTGTGCTCTCTACACAGATTGACCTTCGCTATGCCGTCATCCACATCCAAGCAGACAACTGCACGAAAGACCTCAAAAACAATACAAGCTTCCGTGCCCTTGCGTACTGGACAGCAATGTCCAAGATCAAAGCCGGCGAGTGTGGCTTCCTCTCCAGCGGTCACTCGCATGAGGACATCGACGCTATGTTTGCGTTACTCCGGGCATGGCTAGCGTCGCATCAGGAACTTTGGACCCCTGACAGCTTCCGTCAGTGTCTACAAGAGTGGTTTTCCGACAGGCAACGGCGCCCTCTCGAGCAGCGACATCGAATGGTCAACCTGATCACACAGTACAGGGATTGGACTCTTGAACCTCACAGTAAGTGGTAGACTCCCCTTGTCCTCTTGTCCTTTTGTCAGTGTCCTCTTCATCTTTGAGCAACCTAGGAAGTTATTCTTCAGACCAGTTCGACCACGCCCATCTCACAGGATGCGGCGGCCCCGGTGCCCCGCATCTTTTTCGATTTGATCGGATTGGGGACATAGGTGTGGTACATGTCAATCAAGATTGGATGTGTGTATGCTTTTTGTTATGCCTTCCGCCGTGCATTGGTATACATTACGCCGCATGCGCTAGGCGTGCCACGGGCCAGCGTCGATGACACGAAATGGAAGAAGGTGTCGTACACACCTCATCCGTCGGATGTGATCCTAAGGACTGTGACACGGACACCACAGGTGAATTATGTCCATTTCGGCATTGCTGTCCTTCTAGGACGAAGAGGTTTATGAGCGATGTGCATTGGAGTGAACATATGGTATTGTTCTTACCCTATGACGTGGCCCAATCGTGCGTTGGCTCTCCACCAGGCTCCGTATGATGAAGCAAGTGATTAAGCCTTCAACTTTTTTCCAATATAAAGTGTCATGCTTCAATTTGGTGTGTTCATATGGATGCATGCTTCCTGGCAGTCTTCATTGAGCCCAAGACCACAAGCCAAGAGGAGGCCAAGGCGTTCAAAAAGTATGCCGCGATGATGCGCTTTAGCCTCAGAAAACAATTCTGCTGGATTCCGTGAATTGCTTGAATGTGTTTCAGTAATCTTTGGTTTTTCATGTTTTTTCCAGCTTTCCTTCATGATGGAACGAACCAAACTGCAAGGTGAGTATCCATTCGAGATGCACTCAGCGGCCCAAGAATTGGAAAATATTTCCAATGGGGTGGTCTCTCATGAGCCATTGATGGATGTGAGCTGGTCAGATTCCTAACAACCATGCATGTTGAAACCCTCAAGTTCCAGTGTTCCTGCTACAGGGTCTTGCACCGCACACTCACTCGCAAAGTCGAAGAACGGCTTTCTTCCAAGGGCCCTGCCATATCGTGGACCAGCCGTTGGTCCTGGTGTGCAAGCGGCTGTGAGATATAGGGGCAGAGACTTTGAGGCAGTCTAAAACTCAGACTGTGAGCTAGACGTTCTTGGCAACCGAAACGCGACACAGGTGTCACCCCCAAAATACCCCATGACTTGCTGAGGCCCCCAATGCCTTGCGACTCGTGAGACAACGCCCGCAGAGAGCTGAAGCAGAACGGTATCGTGAAGCAAGGCGGAATCAGGTCCTCTATTCCGCAGCAGCCCAGCTGTGGAAGTCCGGCGTACCTGTGCAGGAAGCCATCAGCATTGTGGCCGATGCCATGTCTCACCGATAGGGGAATGTCTGGGGGCTGAGCTGTTTACCGGAATCAACATAGAGTTTTCTGAAGAACGGTAGCCCCGCACATTCGTTTTGTGAAGAACCCTTTTTGCTAGCTTTGATCTTATAAGTGGATTATAGTTTCTCACCCAGTAGACTTGAATTGTCCATGTGGGAGTGGATGCCAAGTGGGGATTCTTGGATTAGCTCTGTGAATGGAACCCTCACCCAACTTTGGTTTTGTGAAGAGCTGTTGTAAACAAATCTCCTGGTTACAAACACAACCGGTTTTGTGAAGAAAGCTGTCGTCATTATTCACAAAATGTATGGCGCAGCTCAGATTGCCATGATCCTCCAGCACTATGGGTTGTGTGCGGCATTGATTTTGGTGGATCCCAATGGATTTTGTGAAGAAACCTGTCGTCTTTCTTCACGAATGGACTGCTTCCACAAGCAGTGTGTTTTCTGAAGAGATGAGTCAAAAATCGAAAGTCCTATACAGAATCGATGCCCGCGGGTGATCTTTGGAGCTATGGCTCCGAGCATGGGTTGTCTCCACAGCACCAGGGACCTTTCCAGAAGGAATGGCTGTGCGTAATGGAACAAATCGAAATTGCAATCTATCTCTTCACAAAAACCTAGGGTTTCCATGCACTGCAGTTCTACTTAAACCTTGTGTGCCTCGGCTGCCAGGCCCTGCGATGCCTCCAAAGGGCAAGCGACCTTCAGATGCTTCGCGCGGAGGGCGACGTCAGCGAGCTAAGGGGAGTGAGCTACCCGGAGTTCCAGCTGATGCATTAGCCCTTCCACACATGGGGATCTTTGAATCATGGATGCCGCTTTGAATGCACTTGGAATGTACATGTCATTCATACAATTTTCGGATCTAGACAATCATAGTGTTGCAGCCCAGGAAAAGGAACGTCCTTGATGCGCAAAAAACACTGGACACTGTCTTGACTGAATTCTTGTCCGATGAGGCCGGACAGTTTTGTTCTATGGCATTGGGGTGGCATGTCAAAAGAAACATAAATTCATACAGGGATAGATAGACAGATACATACATACATACATCATCATACATTCATATGTACATACATGTACATACAAACTCCTTTTTATGCTTTGAATCTACCTCGATGTTTGCGATCAGGCGAACGCAGCGGGCTTTTACAAGTTCCTGGATACAACCTTTCCTGCAAAACCTGGTGAGTGCAAACCTGAGAGGATCCCTACAATGATACATAATGATACCCTGCGCTGTTCATATCTTGATTGCTGCAAATGAGGAAGTACGCGGCATTGGATGATCTTCGACATGTTGGGGGCGCACTGCTTCGGCTCTGGCAACTGGCTCACAGAAGCGACTTTGGTCTACGCGGAACGTCAGACACCGTCATTTGACTGAGTTGTGCATTGTGCTTTTGCGTTGCGGAGATTCGGCGTGTTTGAGTGCCAGCTTCGGACGTCGGAAGCTGCAAGGACGTGCAACATTCGCTCTGCCAGATGATACTCCTCAACGGCATGCTCACTGATGCCAACCTCCCCGGAGTGGAGAAGGTTTGCGTGACAATGGTGCACAGCATTTGGCTGGAGGTGCCAATGCACAAGGTGTCCAAGGAGGACATCGGATATGAAGGAGATCTTGCGGGGCCTGGATGCACCTTTATGGTCAAAGGTTGGAACAGGAGCGTGTCATTCCTGGCCGTATGTCTTGCGGGCTTCATGGACTCGTCCTTGATCGAGGCAGTTCGGAAATACTTGTAGTGATCAGCGCTTATTCTGTCAAATTTCTCACTGCGCACATTTTCTGAAGTCTTTTTGATCCAGGCCATGCCAGATAACGTCAAAGCGTCACTTGCCAGCAACCCTTGATGTCAGTGATTGTGTGCACTTGTCGGACCTTCTCTACAGTCACCACGGACCATCAGCCTGTTTGTAAGGACCTTCTCTACAATCCACGCTAGTGACAACGGCAGACTTGACTCAGCTCATCAACACCAACAGAGGTGCCCGATCAATTCTGTATCCAAAGCATGCTATGTGTCTGTGTGTGTTGTTGCGAGGGTGATCTGGCAGGCTGCACGCTTGGATCCACGATCCGACGCAAGCCTAATTGCTTCAACCTTGTGCACCAGCTCGAGATGCAAGTCCGAGGGGGCCTGACGCCTGAGCACAGTATCCAATGCCTCGAGGCCGCCTGATGTGATCTTCATTGCGTGAGACACCATCAAACATAGCAGTATATAGCAGTTAGTGCGTATCAATGAACTTGGCTCTCGTTCCAGGCGCATGAAAGCATTGCTTCATTTGCCGCCGCGTACTCATTAGGCAAACAGGAATCAGCTGCTGCCGCAAACCTCCTGCGGAGGATTCCTTTGGAAATTAAGGAGGCGCTCACTGTTTGTGTGAGGCCAGGCTTGTCGGAACGTCACTGTCAACTAGAGTTCCCTGTAATGTTGTTTTTGTGCGAGTTGATGATAGTTTATGAAAATTCAATCATGATTTGGTTCTCCAGGAAATTTGGCATGCCACGCTTCCTAACGCACGACTCGGTGAGCTCGAACGTGTTCAACAGTGGACACTGCTCAGCGACAGGAATTTGGATTCCATGGAAAGCCGAGCTGACAAACACGGTTCCGCTGCTGCGACTTTTGGTCAACAGGCTTGAAAAGGACTGGGTGGCGCTTCCAGTCAAGCAGCGCCGGCCATGGAACCAGAAAGAGGTTGAATCTCAACTCAATGTAAGACTGACTCTAATCTTGGGTCCGGACACGGTCATGGGGCGGGCATGTCGAGCCTCAATGATCAGTGCAAGATTGAAATCGAACCAAGGAGACGATGCAGCGTTCATGTGGAGCTTTTCTCGCTTGCTTGGATCAATTTATGGCTGCTGTCCCATCCACCTTTGCGGACACCTGCCTGGTGGAAATCCACAAAACGTTTCCCAGCTGACAAAAAGGTAGAATCATCAAGAACCCAATGGCTCTAGAATCAATGTGACTTTCTCTGAGGTTCGAGCTGAGACATGGGGATGCAGACCTCCAGTTGATGCTGGAACAATCGGTTCCCCCAGCTACGTTGTCAAAGGTGTCTATTTTTAGTTCTCATCTCCAGCGCTACCAAAACCAGGCCTGGATATTCATATCATCTACACCCATTTACCGTGACATCAATGGCTCTCTTGTGTTTTTACAGGTGGAGGACGAGTGCCGCTCCAAAGCAACAGAGCTTCCCGGATAAAAAATGTGGCCAACACACAGATTAATGTGCTGAACTGCTGAACTTCGCAGAATTTCTGTCAGGCTTTCTCAACAGTTGCTCCAGACGACATGGCAACAGTGCCAGCTGCAAGTCGATGCCGACATGATGAAGCTCAAAGATTGGCAGAAGGAGTTCCATCTCTACGCCCAACAGCAGGTGTGTCAATGAATGGCATAGAATAGAACATGTTAGGTGAAACACTTTTTGAACACATGTGCTGTGAGTTTCAAACACGTTCTCTCCCGAAATCCGGTCTAGGGTGCGCTGGACTACAAGCACATCAATGATCGCTACATGAGAGGCAAGGATTGGCTCCACCTCTTCACGAAAGATCAGCGCACCAACATTCATGTCTCTTCGCTTGTGCTCTCTCATTCGAAGATCGTGAGTATGCAGCAAGACATGGGTCCTGAAGCGTCCCTCAACTTGAAATTATATAGTCGAGAAGCGGTTGTAAGTAAGGCAATGCATCATTGTTGACCAGGCTTTATTTGGCTAAACTTCGTTGACTAAGGTTGACACTTTTGATCTGTGATTGCACATTGTGGCCATCCCGCACCTTGCCAAACAACATATATCAGTGCAAAGCAGTCTCCAAACAGTTGGTGGTGATGCACCGGCAGGAACTTAGAAAGAGTCATTTCAAATGGGGACGGCCCAGGTCAGCTATCAGTTGACGAGGCAATCAGCATCTCCCAGACCATCACCAGCGGAAACAATCGCAGCATGGCCTCCTTCTGTCTTCCGCAAATGCACACCTCAACGAAGCGAGAGGCAGTGCTCAAGAACCGGAGACTTCTAGAAGATAAAGTGGGGGGGTGCCTGGTCTCATTTGGAATTAGGTAAAGCGTTGGCATTGAACAAGATATGTCATACCCCAAGTGGCTCTGAGGTGCATGGATGTGTATGAGATCAGTCTCCACTTCACAGACTCCCAGCATGGAGGAGACAAAAGAAAGAAGTCACAGCAATGCCCTTTTGACGCACAACATGCATGTACCAGCAGTCGTCAGGAAAGTGTAAACTGAACAAAAGAGTCATGTCCGGTCCCAGGCCTTGCGGCTATGTGCTCATCTACATCCACAGTCTTTGCCCGGAGCAAGGCCCTGTTGGGGTCAATCACCGACGTTGAACGATCCAGAGTTGGGGAATTGCAGAACCCTGACCCGGAGAATGCCCTGGCCCCTCATTGGAGAGTTCCTAGCTTGCGCTTCGATGTAAGAAAAGCAAACCGTTCTTGACTTTTCATCGTATCCTAGGTGAAGCAAACTTGAATCCTAGGTGCAGCAAAGAGGAGTGGGCGCCACGGTGAATATCATAAAGCAGCTCATCAGCGGAGCGGCCAAGGAACCACAAAATCTGTTGGTGGTCGACTTGCTGCCTTCGAGGCCTGCCAGTCCTTTGAAGCTTCTAGCCAAATTGGTGTCCATGGGCGCTTGACAAATTTTGGGAGGTTCGCAGAATGGTCTTTGGCGTGCTGGGAGATTCAGCAAGCCTTTCTGCTGGATGAGGACTCCAGCCTTAATGTTCGATTCTTGGGTGTCTATCATGATGATAATGCAAAGGATCTTTCAACATCCTGTGATGCATTGGCTGGAAAAGCGCTCTCTGGCTTCTGGGACAAGTCTGACAAGGCCGGCCCCAAGTCCCGTGCCTCGAGCCCCTTTCACAGGGAGCTCCCCACCCTGGAGTGCTTGGCAATCGTGGAAGGGGAAATCAAGCTCTTTGCACGCGTTAGTCTCTAGGTTGTCTATTCTTCTGTCAATCAGTGTCGATATGCGTCGATAGTTTTGATATATATATATATAATATGCAAATGTTGTACGCAAAAGTTTTGATGACGGTCTGGTTCTAAGGCTGCCGGATATGGTGCAGCAAAAATTCGCAGGGCATCCCAATCTCAAGGATCTCATGGCACGTATCAATGATGACACCGAGATTGTCCAGGCTGTGAAATCTTTTCATGGAGGAGCGACCAGGCCTTCAAGCAGTGCCACGCCAGCCACCGAGACTCGGACCTTGGCAAACCCAGAATGGAATGGTGATGGACCCCCCAATGTGCGCTCGAAGCTTGCTTTGACTGCTGTGACTACCAGTGCATTCGAGAGTTCCACAACGTGGCTAGGCTTGTAACATCACACTTTGACATCAGTTTCTTGTTAACATCACTGCGCAACCTCACCAACCGAGATCCCCTTGCCCGAGATCCCCTTGACCAAATCGAGGTTGGTCGCTTCAGCAGACCTTGGCAGAGTTCCAGGCGTCCACGTGTGCCTTGGATCCGACAACTCCGTGTGGCTTCACAATCAGAGTGGGTCCGACTTGGATATTCCTGCCGGAGAGTTGTTCGGATTCAACACTGGCAATTTCGTGGAAGTGCCAGCAGGAGTGATTTGTTCATCAAAGGTGAGTTCGCCTTCAAGTGGTTTAGGAGTGTCCGTTACAAATTGCACTGAACAGGAGATGGGGAATGCGTTGATGGCCACCTACCCTGGATCGTGAAACATGATGCAACTCTTCTGTCCGTGGACAAGAAGCTGACATCGTTGGCAGACATCTTGTGCGATGTCACGAAGCAACGTGGCGTCACAGAAGTACGCGTGATTGACCACAGCTTGAGACCACAGGCGGGGATTGCAGCATCAAACAGGAATGACAACATCTGAATATGCAAACCGGATCATTCCTAGTTTATCCTAGTTTGAATGTTGTGAAAAGCCTTATCTCTCTCTCTCTCTCTCTCTCTCTCTCTCTGTCTCTCTCTTCAGGTGTCCACTGATGGGACAAATCGATCCCTGCAGTACCGCTACGTCGTCACCCCGAGCACCATGGTCAATGCATTTAAGGGCAAGGACCTGGTCAAGGAGCAACCCGATGTGAACAAGTTCCGGGCACCCCAGCTGGGTGCGTTATTCAATGGGCGACTCTCGCAGCTGCCTCGGGGAAAGAATGCCAGCGTCGTTTGGGAGGCATGGTGGAGTCAAACGCAAACAACTCAAACAACAGAAATCATTGTTTAAAACATGGTGATGAATGCTGAGTACTTTGTAGACGCTTTATCATGAAGCAGTCCAACCTTCTTCAACCGAGCTGTGTTCCCCTGCTCGCCAGCAAAATCGCCCTTTGCCTCAGGTGAAGGTTGATGAGTCTGTGCCAGCAGTGCTGACTCCGCTGAAGCCCAAGTACTATCTTTTGGGTACGGCGTCTATCAAAGATGGACATGCTGTCAAGCTGGGCTGAAACCGTGAACCTGGCAGCTCTAGCTGTGTTTTTGGGGTAACAAGTTGTGCTAGCCATGGGTGGACAGGCTCACTGTGGATTCTCCAAGGTTAGCTTTATATAAAATGCTTTAAAGCAAATTATCTGTCCTGGCTGCTCTTGCACACTGATTTTGGAAACGGCCTGGGAGTGAACCTATGCCTTGAAACTAAGCGCTTTCTGTCGGCAAAAGTCTATTTGAGGCGCCCGCTCGTCCAAACTCTCTTCCTGCAAGGATTGCAGGCATTGGTAAGAACAAATCCCAGTGAGAATAAGTTTCATGGATGAAGTTTGTAACAGCTTGGGTTCAATCAACTAGCGTCACATGGCCGGATTCCTAGCTCTTTGTGCTGCCATGGTTTTGCAACCTGTGGATGAGTTGTCTGATGATGGCGCTAACCAGGGTCTGTCAAAGACTGGGGATCCGCAGGCTGTACCGAAAGCTAAGACTCAACCGAAGCCCAAGTCTCTGAAGCCTGCGACCTCACGTGTGAATTCAGATGCATCTAGTCCGAAGAAACGACCTGCAACAGCATCGGGTTCCACCCCTGCCTTGAAAAGGCCAGCTGCTTCCCGTGAGCCTGGGAAGGATGAGAAGGTGACCATTGGCAAAGGCTTGTATAAGACTGGCATCTATGGATTCAAAATCAACGGCCAAGAGAAGCTTCGCGTGCTTCAGCAGCATTCGTTGCAGAAAACGTTTAGTGGAAGAAGAAGTATCACTTCATACAGCAGCCAGTTCTCAAACAAGTTTTGTTCTGACGCCAGTTGTCAATCCTTTTTCAAGCAATGGCAACTGAGTTGAAGCCCGTGGATGGGATCTCACCTGAAGTATTGTCTGAGATTGCGGCCATTTGTCGGCATCAGATCTTCATGTGGCTTCTAAAAACATGGTTGGAACAATGTTGAAACATGGATCTGAACGTTTGCTTCTAAGACTGCCATGCGTGCTGAATTGGTGCGAACTTCGGGCAACATCGAAGCTGCCGAGTCGCTAAAGGTCTTTTGTTTGCATGAGTGAAAGTAGCTATAATGCTCAAACTATCATCTCTCAAACATCTATCAAACGCTCTCAAACATCTTTCACATGCTCTCAGGAAACGATGGTCCGCGAGGCTCTAAACAAAAAGGCTGAGGAGACCAAGGACGAAGCGGCCTCTGACCCGGCAACCGAGAACTTGGATGGGGATTTCGAAGGGGAAGAGGAGGAACCCGGGGAAGCTGATGAGGCTGCTGAAGATGTGGAATAGGCGTCTCAAGTTTGTCTTTCGAGATGTCTTTGGAATTTGTCTCAACACCATCACCCCTTCTCATTCGTCACTCCGTTGATGGTGTGCAGGGTGGTGCACAGCTCTGAGAGTTTCTGAGGGCGGTGTGCAGGGTGACCAGCTTTTGAAAGTGTCAGCTAGTGAAAATGTTCAGCTGATCCTGACCGCCCCTCTCTGTCGGGGCTCGCTGTGGCACCGGACTTCGATGACCATCCTGGAAGGAAAACATGCTGTGTGTGTGTGTCAAAGGAAATGCATGTTGTGCTTGTTCAAACGAACAGTTCAGCGGCTGTTTTCTTTCTTTCCAAGATCCAGCTAACCCACAGATCGTGTGAACGCAAAGTCATGGCTGCCAATGGCGTCAACAATGATCGGGTGAAGGATGTGATGGGTCGCGCTCTCATTTATCGGTGTTGTTTTTGCTTAAAGACAATGAAACAACATTATCACCAAACTTAGGTGTCGCTTGGCCTTGGGACCAACTTCCAGTGAATATGTAGGAGTACAGAGTCGATTCGGGCCCCTTCTCACCCATGTCAGATATCGATGATGGTGATGACTTTGCTCTGTGTGAGATCTTGCGCTGGGTGTACCACACCCGGGTTTTGATGACTTCTGACAACCACGTCACCTGGAATGAAGAACTTCGTTATATTGTGAAAAGCCATGAGGTTTACATGGACGACACAGCAAAGGCCATCAAGTGGCACGCCCTGGTTCAAGTTTTTGATATTCGGGATCAAGCTATCAAAACGCTTGAGTTCCGTGTGGCTGGAAATTAAGCCTGCAGGCTGCCTTGAATCAGCAGCTTCGACCCGGCTTTTTGTGGTTGAAAAATCAGTGTAGTACTTTGAAACAAAAACAAGAAGGAACAACATGCTCAGGACATCTATCCCATTCTATCCCTTAGGCTCCCCATGCCCAACGATCATCAACAACACTGACAGGCCTTAAAGTCAAAAGAAGATAATGAAGATGGCCTCAGATCAGGCTCTGATCCAGGGATTATTCGACTAGTCCATGCACCATCATGCACCCCTTCCTAGCAAATCCGCTTGCAAACCTTCCGGAAGGTCTTTGGAAAGGTGCCTGGAATGCAAAGACGTGGATGTTTGAGGCCAGGGCGTAGTACCCATGTTTGCATCACAGCCTGACGGCAAGTTGAGAGTATGGGTTCCATTGGATTTGATGCACTTTGCAATCAACAAGCCAACAAGTTGGAACACCAGTTTTTGACCATTGCTTGATATTGCTTTGCTGTGCCATCATGGTGCCATGATCGAAGTGCCTCTGCAGGCCATCGGGCCGAAGAACGAAGAACGACCATGAGTGAAAGAGTGAAGGGGCCGTCGTCTACACTCAGTGGATTGGTGTTTGAAGCATTCTATGTTCCAACCTATGGCAAAACATGATTTACAAACAAAGATGGCAGGGCTGCGGGGCTCATGAGACACATGTTCAAAAGCAAATCGGACACATGGCTCACGAGACACATGGACACTGTTAGGTTGATGTCTTGCGAAGATCTGATCGCGTTTGAAAAAAACTGCCAAGCGGGCGATGTTTTGAGCAATGCCCATGACCGATGACTCACGGAATCTCACGGACGAATGCCCCTGGTTTTACAAGAATATGGTTACTGCTTAAGGAGAGTAACTCATAAATCGTAGAGCAGTCAAAAAGTTAAACCATGTGTGTGTAGCGTGTTTGAGCTGAATATAATACACCCATTGCAGTTTTCTTTCTCACAAGCTTGGTCAGTGGTTGGATCATGTTTTCTCACAAAGTTGGTCAATTGTTGGACCATGCTTTCTCACAAACTTGGTCAGCTGTTGGACCATGCTTTCTCACAAGCTTGGTCAGCTGTTGGACCATGCTTTCTCACAAACTTGGTCAGCTGTTGAGCCATACTTTCTCACAAACTTGGTCAGCTGTTGAGCCGTATGTGACCCAAACACCAAACACCTGGATGCAAAGCAAACACCTGAAAAGCAGGAATTGGAAATATCAACGGAGCGGTCACCGTCAGCCAATCTCCAAAAAGCAGGGCCGCATTCTTCAGCCGATGGTGCTGGTAGTGGGGGTAGTTCAAGGTTGCGCATCGCCTCAGGCAGCGTGGCTGTCACCGAGTCCAGCGGCTTCATCGTGTTCGCTGAACCATTCAATCCATCTCCACAACCTCGAGCATCGTGGCCAGGAGCAAGACCAGGAGGAGTGTCAGGTGGTCCTCCAAAGCTTCATGGGCTCCCCTTGTTGTTCCCGCCGTCCTTCAGCATTGGCGCTCGGCTTCTTGACATCCCGAGCAAAGCAAAATACGTTCACGAAGACGTTCAACATCTCCCAAGCCCGGACTTGGTACCGGATGAGATCCACCTGCAGTTGCAGCTGCTCGAACATGAGACTCCCCTTCGCTGCCTGCTGAAGCGAAGTGCTCCAGAATGGATTCACCGTCCTGAGAGGTCCCACCGGTGTGGTAGGATATGGATCCAGCACGCGAGGATGTAGAGCATCACGTCCAGCCACAGCCATGTAGGGCGATGCACCCATGCGCTCAGCCTCCATTCCGCTCTGGATGAACTCCGAGTCCGGTACCGGCGTGAACTCCCTGACTCCCTGATCGCCGGGGCGAAGAAGAGGATCAAGTAGGGTTGGCTGCGGACTTGGCCTTTGAAGAGCATGTTGCAACACTTCAAATGACTGCCGTACTGCCTCCTGCAAATGCCCAAGTCTCATAGCCTGGCCTCTTGGGTCATTCAACAGCTGTCGAACTTCACGTTGTCCTTGTCCTTCCTTGGCCTCCTGAGGATGGAGCCATCATGGAGCGGCCACCTTGGCCATGCTCACCGCCAGCTGCCGCGCCCAGCCGCTTGATCTCCGTCGCTGCCACAGGCACTGATTGCGCGCGCGCGCCCTCATCTCCTCTTCGATGAGTGCATCCAGCCGCCTATCGGCCACACCAACCTCCACCTGAGGCGCTGGAGCCTTCGCCTGGTCTTGGGCTTGTCGTTCCCTCGACCGCTGCTGCTGCCTGCGCCGCCGCTGCTCCATGAGCTCGATCCAAAGGATGCCAAGGCGAGTACCTTGGGCTCATAACCTAAGGAAGATCAAGTGCAAAAAGTCGGGATCGGCGCGTCGTCCCTTTTCTTGAGCCATCGAGCGAGCGCACATCTAGTTTGTGCAAGTCAAATGAAACATGCGATCGAGGTCGATCACGAACCGTTCACAGGAACAAATATATATTTTGCTGGAAACACGACCACCGATGTAGTCCATACACATAATGCCATTGAATATATGAGATACGACCACACCAACTCAACGATAGAAATTGAGACAGAACTACAAGTGGAAAGCGGTTTCAAGACAGACACCATTGACAGTTTAACCAACACAGATTTAGTGATGTCAAGAAACGGAGATGAGTTTATGCGGTGTCAATCAGC